GAGCAACCGCTGCTGGTTCCTCCACTTCTGTTACGTAGCCAAGATGGCTATCATTTATCGTGTGAAGTTTTTACGTTCAAACTCAAACTTTGTTACTGTTATGAGCGCACAATCTGGGTACTGCATGTTGCCCTACTTCTCTGTGTGACACACTTATGCACTCAAAAAAGCAAGTCTTAGTACAGAGGTGTGCCAATTGAGACTCATTTGGACTCATGCCCTTAGTTTTGCCCTAAGATAAAGTAGAAAAACAGTCTGTTTGGAGTGGTATTCACAGATATCATAATTGAGGTTTACATTCACTCTTTGACAGAGGACTGCGTGTTGATTACGGAGTGGTGTCTCCTTCACAGGTGATGAACTGACCAAGACTGAGGATGAAGATGAGCAAGGCTGGTGTAGAGGTCGCTTGGACACCGGCCGAGAGGGACTGTACCCGGCCAATTACGTCGAGCCAATCTAGCCGCGTTACTGGACAAGGACACGGCATTGGAAGCAGCTTGAACTGTCCCGTCCAATCGCACCCCGCACATAACCAGAGACTTAAGAGCAACACATCCCTTGCCCAACAGATGCGCCGAGCAGTCTTGCCTAAATAAAAACTTAGTAACCTAAAAGACAGTATATCAGTATAATATATTTTATCCAGCATTTGGGGTGGGTGGACTTTCACATTTAAAAACAGGAGCAGCAGTTATTCCAGTATATACACACTCAACTATACCATCAAGTCAGTGCAGGAACACATTGCTTCTCTGTGTAGCTGTATTTAACGTATAATGCAGCTTAAATTAAACTTGCAGTACGCTGCAGTCGTTTCTCTTGTGAAAATGGGAAGATAATATAATCAGTTATACCCATCCGACAAAGACAAGCTTCTCTAACCTGCATTGTGTATATACAGTGTGATGCCATTTCTGTGTAGCATTTTTAATGCTGTGTGTGGTCAGTCGTCATTCTTACATCTGGAATACTGTGTAGTGTTAAAGTACCACAAACAGTATCCTCTATTTTTGTTCTCGTTTTTTTTGTTTTTCTTTGTGATTTGGTCCAACCTCTCTTCCAGTGTGTGCAGTGCTATGTGTTTTAACTGTTTCTGAACTTGCATAGCAGCATGTGCTATGCAAAAAAACTTGCATTCCCTGAATCCTGCAGCCTTCTTACGGCTTCAACTTGATGCAACACTTCTACTGCAAATGCAGAGGTCATTTTTTAGCATCACAATCTTCTGGACATGCTTCTGTTTTCATGAAAGGAAGCTTGTTGATGAACTGATTTTATGTTTGTTTGTTTAGTTTTTGACATGTTTCTTTTCTTAGCGTCACAACCTCATTGACTATATCATCTTCATGCAATCCAAGGAAAGGAAACTGTTTCTCCAGAAGCTTTCATTCTTGGTTCAGTGATTCAGGTCTCATTTTAATTCACTACTGCTTACAAGAAACACGATACATTCCCTCTGAGCGAACCCGGATCAAGTCATCTTCTTGGGGTTTTAGGAGATGGGTTCTGAACAATGCCGGGCACATTTGACCAGAGCAAGAGGCCAATGGAGGCATGTTATTGTACTGCTGACGGTTGTCTGAAGATCGAAGCCTCTTCAACAGGACATGAATGTATGTTTGGGCTTGAAAGAGGGCATGTTGTCTAAACATGGTTCTCCACCGTCATTTAAAAGCCCTACCTAGCAAAAAGCACTAGTTATGTGGTCCGTTTCCCTGCTGAGCCAAAGAATGCCCCAATACCATCACCTTTCTGTTTTCTCTCCATGCAATAACTTTACATATCACAACAGCTTCAGTGAGAATCAGCTTGTAGCTGCCTCCCAGTCCACCCAAATTTCATTTGTCCGCAAAACACAGCACAATGACACAGGGAATACATTTGTCACCAGTGTTGCATTTCCTGGAAGATGACTCTTGCACAGTGCATTACATGGTTATTTTTTAAATCTTGCTACATAGAAATTAAATAATAGCAGGAATTTGCATCTGATGTTAAGTATGTTATCATGCAAGGGTTGCAACTAAATCTCTGATTAGATGGGAGAGATGCTTTTTATAACCTAGTTGTCCTGAAGTTTTAAAATGTCACTGGACCAACAGCAGTCAGATGTGTTTAGCTCTGTGTCTGGAACAGGATTTGACAGGTTTGGGTCTCACACATGAGGAGAAACACATCACCAGCTCACAAGTTGTGTCTTAGGGTAAAGCTGTCCAGCATAGCAAAAAGGACTCCTATCATTAAACTGTCCCACTTCCTTGATGCGCGTATGCACACAAACACACACATACATATTAAATACACATACATTTAATACAAGATATACACAAACACGCAAATTCAAACACATGCTCCACATTACCAGGTTAATATTTTGGGGGAAAACTTCTTCATTGAGTGCGTATGAGTTATGTATGTAATGTAAGGAAAAAAAAAAAGTTCCCAAAAAAACTGCAAGTGATTGACTATTAAGACAAAATGTTGTGTTATACATGTAAATGTGATTCATTAAAATATCAGCAATGGAAACATGTTAAATAATAGATATATCGTATGAATTTCATTGCAATGGAATTGTCAGTGTATCATAAAAGCGTGACGTTATCCCACGCTGTCAGATTTGTATATGACGATGTAATTTAAAGATTATATTCTATTGTAACTGTACAACTGTGTTGAGTTGAAAAATGAGACCTAACCATGTTGAGGCAGTAAAAAGGTGTACATGTAAATGCTTTTTTATGTTGATGATCTCTTCCTTATGCACACAGGGGACAGCAGCTCATGTTGTGGAAACCCTATATTAGCGGTCTAGAAGATGTATGTTCATAGTTAGTGATGTACTTTTATCTCCTAACTGGTGTAGTGCCTGTTCATCTTGATGTAACAAGAAGTTCATTTAAATATGCATAAAGATGATTATGATCACAGATAATAATGAAAATAGAGATGAGAAACCCGACTCAGATTTGTTGTGATGGTGTCGATATTTTTGCGATATTGGTTTGAAAGGGGAAACAAGTTTGTTGAAAAAATCAAAGGTTAGTGTCCGTGTGTTTTTTGTATGGACAGCTCGTGTTATGTATAATATTATTACTATTACAAGAGACGAAAATTGGTTATACATTGCTTTATTCTGGATCCTGAACATAATCCCAAAGATAGAAATGTAAAAAAGGAGTATCCATCAGGGCAGATTTATTTAAATATTCATTTACTTTGGCAATTGCGCTGCAACTTATGGCCCATTTCCACTGCAGCGCGTAGCACGGTTTAAGTGTGTTTTTTTGCTTTTCCACTACTAGGTGTAGTTAAGGCTCAGGGCTACTTTTTCACCTTTTTTCTGGCCCTCCAAAATCGAGGTTCTTACCGGCTGAATATGCTAAACTAGTGAAGTAAACACTCGACTGTTGAATGGTCAGAGAGAATCGCTGGCAAGGGGGCTACAACTACAACAAAATGAACATATTTTACCGCGATTTAATTGTAATACACGTTTAAAAATGATGCCGAAGTAACAACATACTGATACCGGTTAATAAAAACCATGAATTAATGCTGTGACAAGTCTGCAGATAAGACGGCAGGCGAAAAACCTTTTAAAATGCGTGTTTTCTGAATGGAGATCGGCTAAGCTAACGCAATATGCTCCGACCGTCCACACTCACAACGGCCTACAGACATATATAAACCAGCGACTGTATTCACCATGACAGACAGTCGGTGGTTTGTACTTGTTTAACTTTTGTCTAGTTTCTGAATAGATATGAGGAGCTGTGAGTTCTGAGTGCTAAAAGCTAATGTTGGTGTTCGCATTGAAGATGACGTCACGGCTCCGCCTACACTGCGTTACTATAGTTACTGCCCCAGCTACTAAACTGTAATGGAAACGCAGCATAAAGTTAGCCTGGCCTACCAAGGCCTAACTATACCGTACTAAGCCGTGCAAGGCCCTGCAGTGGAAATGCGCCATTAGTGTGAATAGGAATAACAAAAAAGTGTCATTGTACAAAGAAAAGGAGAATTTAAAGGATTAGTTTGACAGTTTGGGAATAAATAGCTTTCTTCCTTGGCTGGGGTTTGATGAGAAGACTTAACACCACTCACTTCAATGTATGCATGCTACATTTGTAGCTGAAACAAGCAGCTAGTTAGCTCAGCTAGCCTAGCTATGTCCAATGTACCTAACCTCCAGCACATGTCAAACTCACTAAGAAAACAAGATTCAAGTTTCAAATATTGAGTACTAAAGGTGCTCACAGGCATGTGATGTTTAACCTTGGGCAGAAACAGGCTTGCCATTTCCTGTCTTTGTGCTAATCTAAGCTAGCTGACTGCTAGCACCAGCTACACTGTATGAAGAGTGATATAAATATATGTTAGTTCTCTGGAAGAAAGCAAACTAACAATATTTATTTCAAATATAAGTCGTTTTGAGAAACCAAACATCACACCAAAATTACATTTCAACAAGAGTGCTTAAGACAAATTAAATATAATCGGTATAAAGAATAATAAAATAGAGTCATGATAGCAGGGCTCTCAAGTTTTGAACAGAGTTCAGAGTGAGATTTTGGCAGCGGTGTTTGGTACTCCAACTTCTGGCTCCCCTCAAAGTTCTAGTGCTAGTGGAGTGCACGCGTCTCAAACAAGCCTAGTTTGTTTACAAAATTGCGACGCAACTTGGTGGGCGGTACCCTGGAAATAAATCTCTGCGTGTGAAATACAAGGTGTGGCGTGTGAGCGTGTGAATGGAGTGAAATGCGTGTGTCTCACGCCAAATGCGTGAGACTTGAGAGCTCTGCATACACACATCAATAGTCTCCTGTATGTCCAGGGGTGCACACAACTTTCTCAGTGAGGTACTCAGATGAGTACCTGGAATGAAG